TCTTTCATAGACGTGAATAAGTTCAAAATTGAGGGAACAAACCCAGAGCTAGGAGGATAATGTCATGGAAGGTAGGCATAATCCATGCACACTATTCCTCGTACCTACCACTGCTTGAAACTGAGTATCGGATCCGTGACGTGATGTGCATTTATGTTCTCAGTTTCAGGTAAAACTGCACCAGCGAAAATAATGGTGATAAGTTTTCAAAGCATCTTCCCTGACAGTATGGTCTTTGGCAGAGTGATTTTTAGCAGTAATCCCAGCTGGCAAAAGAATTGCCTGTCTGCTCTTTTCTCTCAGTGTAGAAGTAACTTTTTCAAACATACTAACTCACAGAGTTCCCAAGAGGAACAGGCATGTTGAGCAAGACAATTCTTAGTTGTAGAGCACTGTCCTGTAAGATGGTTCAGCACTCCTGCTGCCCTCCTCCCACCCACACCCCTCCCACACATGCACACACACAAAAGAAACTCCTGCACTTTTCAAATGCCCAGCAGGGGAATGACACTGAGAACCACCAGGCTAACAACGGGACCAGTGCTGATTAAGTCACCAAAGGAGAAGCTGCATGTTCTGACACCAAGCTGGGACTGCTGTGGCTCAGGGAAGAACTTGTGCCGACCGTCCCCTACCATTTTAAGAGAGCGGGAGTTCCTATCTGTTGAAAACTGTAACTCACCCGCGCACAGCAGCTCTTCGTACAGGTGCTTGACCGGCGTGGCCTGTATCACCAGGGCCCCGTGCAGCCAGATGAGCAGAGCCCCGTGGCCGTGTTCACGGAAGCTCTCCTCTCCCGTGGCAAGCACGAAGGGCAGATGCTGACACCTCCTTACTGTGAACTCAGTTCTAACGCAAGTTCCATATGGCTGTGGTTGCATGTTCATTCCTCCTCTGGCAGCTGTGAGATAAGAAGCCCAGTGGATGAAAGCCCTTCCAGTCACCTCACTGGTACTTCTAGGGGAACCAGAGTTTGGAGTCTCTCAGCACTTGCCACGCACCTGCTGTGCTTAACACAGACGAAAGCTGAGGATGAGAGAGGGGAGGGACAATCTTAAAGAGATGTGGAGCTTTTCTTCAACGTTCAGGTGGCACTGCTAGAGGCTAGCACTTCTCAAACTTAAGATGCGCAATTCACCTGAGGGTCTTGTTAGAGTGAAGATGCTGGTTCAGTCAGTCTGGGGTGAGGATCTGCAGGTGAGTAAGCTCCCAGGTCCTGCTGCTGCTGCCGCCCATGAACCACACCCTAAGCAGCCAGCATGCACCCACCTGCCGGTCCAGCTTCCAGGAAACTCCTCTGGTAGAAGTCTGCAACCCCCGGCCAGGCCAGGGCTCTTCACTGGGCAGATCTCACTAGACGCCTAACCCCTGAGAGGTGTTCGGGTAAGTGCTGGGATATGGAGATGGGAACCGTGGTCACTCGCGGCTGGAGGTCACAGTTACAAACCCGTGCCAGGTTCCTAGCTCTGCCAGATGCTGAGATGAGGAGGGCCTCAGCTCTGGGGAGGAAATCCGCTGCACAGACTGTTAGAGGGGCAGGCGTTTCAGGGAGAACAAACTATATGCATGAAGAATGTACTCCTAGGGACTTCCCTCGTGGTCCAGTGGTTAAGACTCTGCGCTTCCAGTGCAGGGGGCCTAGGTTCGACCCCTGGTCAGGGAACTAGATCCCACAAGCTGCAACTAAAGAGCCCACATGCCACAACTAAATAGCCTGCACTTGGCCACAGAGATCCCGCATGCAGCAACAAAGACCCGGCGCAGCCGAATAAATAAATAAATTTTAAAAAAAAAGAAGTGCTCCTAGGCGAATCCAGTTCCTTTCTTAAATCTTGCCGCTGCCAGACTAATTTTTCTTAAATACCATCACCAACGTGTCATTCCTTTGCTCAAAAGCCCACCAACTCCATTGTGCCAGTAGCATAACCCAGGGTTACAAATGTAATTGGATTGTGAATGTTACTATTATCATGCCAACTAGATTATCAATTCCATTAAACATGCAACATGGCTTACAGAGCTGATGTATGCTTCCCCTGGCACAGCGAAACACACTCTAGGCACTTCGTAATGTGTGAATGAAACACATCAAAACTCCCCTTATCCTGATGGCAAGTACTCTGAAAGCACACTACATTTCCAAATCAATTTTTTAGGTCAAGAGAAATTTCCAGAAGGCAACTCCATTTTCCTAAAGACTTCACAGAACACTATGCGCCTAATTAGCAACAAGAAGAAATCTTAACAATAAAAAAGAAAACGTTTTAGAAACTGTAGTCAATATTCAACATTTTCAATGCATTATCTTCCATTTTTTCACGTGAAAATGTATCCTTAGAATTAGCAATAAAAGTGTCATAATTTACTTGTGTGTGGTATAAGTAGCATGTGCCCATGGGCTGTGGTTCTGCTATCCCCAATCCCCAGCAATCAATAATGCGATCACCCCCTGAGCATGGGACTCGTTCACATCTCATTACAGCCACGTAAGGACAGTGCTCTGAATAAAAAGTTTTGCCAAGAAAAGTCTTTGCTTCTTTGTTTTTAAAGCTAATTAGTTGATAATGCAAACAAGCTTTCTGTATTTCCTAGGTTTGGGTCAAATCATAAAAAAGCAAAGCTAAGGACTCCGACCTCACTAATTCTGACATCTGGAGTCTGGCTGAAATGATTCCATGGCTTGGAATCCTCTAACCAAGAGAGCCATGGGTCTCTATCCCACACGTCTCTCATGGGACACCTGGTCTCACCAAGGCCATGACCTACAAGAACCCCTTGCCCCAGGCCTGGTTTAAGGGATTCCTTCCTGGTGTGGAAGCCCTAAATAGTGAGCCTGTTGTTAGGGAATGAATCCATTCACCCCAGGATGATCTCAAGGAACTCCAGAAATCAGGTGGCTTCCCAGTGACAAGTCAACTGTTAAATCCTTGCTTCCTTCGTGCCCAATTCAGTTGGGAACCTTAATTTCCTTCTAGGCTAAATGCCACCTTTTCAATATGGCTCAATAAAAGTAATCATCCTTTGCAAACTTCAGTCTACTGCAGATTCCCATGAGTACTAGCAGTCTGCAAGGTTCCCAATCACCTCTGTGGTCCTAAGCTAACTGTCCCCACTCCTGGGCCCCTGCAGTCTGTTGCTTATCAAGAGCACTGGACACCCACTTGGAAGATGGGCACCAGTAAGGATGGCTCTTCCTAATACCGAATGCCTCATGCCCACATCTCCTGGGCCATGTTGACCTGACCACTGCTCCTCGATGGCTCTGATCCGGGCATCTGTAAAGTTCCACAAACGGGCTAGCCTCTGCCACTTGTTGGTCTTCAGCTGACAGTAAGCCAGGACAGTAAGCCAGAGGAGACTGCGAATGTGCCTGGTCTCCTGACTGTGATCTTGCTTGAACATCAGAGTAAAGCTGGTTGATGGGTCCTTGATGTTCTCACAATGCTCCTAGATTGAAGGTAATTGTATCATATGAATTCAGACATTTTCTGCTGATTGCCTTATTTCAGAGTACACACGTATATATTTTTTCAGATGTAACCCATAGAGTTAAAGTAACGCCTTTAAAGACGCATTTGTGGTGACATTTCTGTAGTCAGCATACATCCTCTGTTTTCTTTTGGGGTGGTAAGCAGGCTGGGATAGAGGCATGCGATACAGCATGGCAAAATCCCTCACATTTCCTGTGTCAGACAGACTCCAGCTTTCTTTTTTTTTTTTAATTAATTAATCTATTTATTGGCTGCATTGGATCTTCATTGCTGTGCAGGGGCTTTCTCTAGTTGCGGCGAGCAGGAGCTACTCTTTGTTGTGGTGTGCGGGCTTCTCACTGTGGTGGCTTCTATTGTTGCGGAGCACAAGCTCTAGGCACGTGGGCTCAGTAGTTGTGGCACACGGGCTTAGTTGCTCCGCGGCATGTGGGATCTTCCCGGACCAGGGCTCGAACCCGTGTCCCCTGCATTGGCAGGCAGATTCTTAACCACTGCGCCACCAGGGAAGTCCCTTTCAGGGTCTTCTTCACCCCAGCCTTGCTCTACTCCCACAGTGCCTGGCTCCCAGGAAATCCTAAAAGAGGTAAGGCCGAGGGTGGGAGATCCAGAAACTTAGGAGTTGTGGGCACTGCCCTTTTTCCTTTTCTCCTCGTTCCATCTCCTGAAAATGTTAAATCCAAGAAGATCAAAACCCCAAGCACCACCAATTTAAAGGGAAGACTACAAAATGCCTCTGCTTTCAACTCCGCATTACAGCATTTTTATTTCTTTGAAAAACATGCCTGCTTTGTGCATTCCAGGATTGGGCTGGGCAGTCCTTCAGGCTTCCACAGGAAGGGCCAGGGATTTGGAAAGCCCAGGTCTTTTTCAACAGTCAGTGGAAGCATTAATAACTTGTATGCAAAGCACTGACCTATTTGCAGGAATAACATAAGCCAGAACTGGAGGAAATTAAAATAGCATAAGCCACGATTTTAGGAAGCCCCCATCTACCTCTGAACCATTGAATTTATTTTTTTAATATAAATTTACTTATTTATTTATCTGTTTATTTATTTAGGCTGCATTGGGTCTTTTGTTGCTGCGTGCCGGCTTTCTCTAGTTGCAGTGAGCAGGGGCTACTCTTCATTGCAGTGCGTGGGCTTCTCACTGTGGTGACTTCTCTTGTTGCGGAGCACGGGCTCTAGGCACGTGGGCTTCAGTAGTTGTGGCATGCGGGCTCAGCAGTTGTGGCTCACTGGCTCTAGAGCACAGGCTCAGTAGTTGTGGCGCACGGGCTTAGTTGCTCCGCGGCATGTGGGATCTTCCCGGACCAGGGCTCGAACCCGTGTCCCCTGCATTGGCAGGCAGATTCTTAACCACTGCGCCACCAGGGAAGCCCAGGGATAACATTTTTAACACACTGCAAAGCGCTTGGTCTGGGACGGGCTCTAGGCATGCGGGCTTCAGTAGCTGTGGCACGCAGGCTCAGTAGTTGTGGCTTGCGAGCTCTAGAGCACAGGCTGTGGCGCACGGGCTTAGTTGCTCCGCGGCATGTGGGATCTTCCCGGACCAGGGCTCGAACCCGTGTCCCCTGCATTGGCAGGCAGATTCTTAACCACTGCGCCACCAAGGAAGCCCTGAACCACTGAATTTAATGATAGATGATTAGGTGGTTAGGTAAATGGGTAAATGGATATGAGAGAGGAAATGCCAACCATCTTTTTAATCTTTTCATTAGGAACCATTTTATATTAGGCCAAGATATAAACTTGTTTAATAACAAAGGGAATTTTAAATAATAAATAACAATAAATATATTTGGTTAAAAAAATTTTTTAAGGCTCTATATGAAAAAAACAAGTCTTCTTCCCACTCCAGACCTCAGGGTCCCAGTTGTCACCAGGGTTAACAAGTCTTAGCATTTCTGGGGGTCTACTTCAGCTATATGTATGCATTATTTATGATTTTCAAAGTTCTTCCAACTCTCACACCTTAAGACTTGTTAGGAAAGAGGGCTTATTCATCTGGTGGAAAAAATAATTTATTCTCATCTAGGAAAAAGAATCTAAAAATGCTAAGAGGAATTAAAAATAGAAGCAATGAATATTCCTATTTTTAAAGAAAATGTGGAAACAAAGACGGAACTTGGGAAAGTCATCCTCAATAAAATACAGTGATGATCTAAGAAAACGAGAATGAGGCTAGGACAAAGAGGAAGAGGAAAAAGAAGAGAGACTAGAAATCAGAGCAGGAAGGAGAGCGATTAAACAGAATTCTAATTGTCAAATGTTATTTTGTTTTGTTTTGTCCTACAGGCAAATAAGAAAAGTCGGGGGAGGATAGTATGGCCTTTAAACTGATCCCCATATACCAGGACTACTGAGCCAATTAAACAGTACTGCGGGGGCTTCCCTGGTGGCGCAGTGGTTGAGAGTCCGCCTGCCGATGCAGGGGACACGGGTTTGTGCCCCGGTCCGGGAAGATCCCACATGCCGCGGAGCGGCTGGGCCCCTGAGCCATGACCGCTGAGCCTGCACGTCCGGAGCCTGTGCTCTACAACGGGAGAGGCCACAACAGTGAGAGGCCCGCATACCGCAAAAAAACAAACAAAAAACCCCAAAATAAACGGTACTGCATTGCGAGCAAGGAGGCAAATCAATGCCCCTTAAGGATTTAAGGGACATTTCTCAGGATTGGCAAATTAGACATCAGTCTGGGCTTAAGGCTCCTCAGGGGTAGACATGTGAGGGACTAGGACCTAAATTCTGGCTCCAGCCTGTTGGACCAGAGTGGACATTCAAGTCTAGGACAGCAGCAGAGGGTGGTGTTTGGTGATGAAACTCCTGCCTGAGGGCATAGACTTGAATCTTGGAGGGGAGGGCATTCTACTGAGAAGCTCCATGAGCGGCAGCTATCAGAGGGCGTACTGATGAAAGAAGACGGAAGGAATGTCTTGGAGACAAGCTTTTGTATTCTGAAGATGAATAAGGTTTTTGTGACCATCGGAGAATACTTGAGTGCTGAGTAGCCGGCACAGCGGTATGTGGAAAACTGCAAAACCCCAAATATGAACTTCCTTACCACTCAGTAGAATGCGAGTCTGGGAGCTTCCAGAAGGGACCATAGCCAGAGACTCCGTGACAGCAGGCACAGCCAGCAACCAACCACCTGGAGCACGCATGCCAGGCTCCTTAGAGCCAACGTGGACTGGCCTGCTTGGCCCAATGGAGCTCTACACACTTCAGTTCCAACCACTGGAGCTGACAAAGGATGGAGAGGAAGAGAGGCAGCTGTTCACGCCGCAAATTGGACAGCACAGGACAGAAGGGACAGCTAATAACACACTAACCAGGGCCCTGCCCACAGGGTCTGTACACAGACCCCAGCCTGCCCACAGGGCCCTGCCCACAGGGTCTGTACACAGACCCCAGCCTGCCCTGTAAGAAGAGGGGGCTTCAGAAGAGCCCTCACTGAGCTGAATTCGGCCTTCCTTACCTCTCTCCAGGCGTAGCACCTCTCGGCTTTAATGAGCGTGCCCACGATGAGGCTGCAGTTGCTCCTGGAGGCAAGGCCAGGGCAGTCTTCCCTTGCTAAAAAGTCAAAAATCAAAGAGTCAGGCAATGCGGCCTACTGGTTAGGAGCTCTAGCTTTGGAACAAGGGGTCCTGGATTCAAATCCTGATCCTACTGCTTCCTTGCAGGGCAAATTTGAGCCAGTCCTCAGCTTCCCTAGGTCTCAATAACTACCCCTCTGAGTGGTGGTGAGGGGCAAGTGTGATAACTCGTATAGGGTCCTTAGGACTGTGTGTGGCACAGTCTAGGGCTGTGTGTGGTAATCGTCTAAGAGATGCTAGATATTGATAGTGTCAGGTGCTGTGTCAATGGGGCAGGGGGAAGGATTTGGGCTTAGGGACCCAACATCAACAGGTAACGTTCTACACTTGCCCTATCAATGAGAACCCAAGCATTTCTCCAAGACCGGCAGTGGTCTCCCTGGCTCACTGCACTGTGAAGTCCTCAGCAAATAACGTAATCATACGTTTTTCTCCTCCAGAGTCTGACTCCACCTGTGGCAGAGCCTTTAGTCAGTGTCCCATGCCCCACCCACCACAAATAGCGTTTTTCTTCTAAAAGAGACCTCCTGATTTTAGCTGGGCACTTGGCCACCCCGAACATTTCCTAGTCTCCCTTACCCTTGGGTATGTGAACTAAGTTCTGGCCAACGGTATGTAAATGGAAGCAACACATGCAACTTTTGGGAAGTTTCTTTAAAAGAGACTTCAAAGTTTCCTCCTCCCCCAGTGGAATGCTGGCATGATGGTAGGAGCCTGAACAGCCACTTTAGATCAGGAAGTGAAAGCCATGTGTTCAGGAGGGCAGAGTAATAAAACAGAAAAGGGATGGATCTTATGCAGAATACAATCAACAACAGTAACACTACATAATACAGAATTCAGCTCACGGGTCTCCTATCCAGAACTTTTTCCTATTATATCATACCACCTCTAACCAAAGATGAGGGGTTGGGGTTGGAATCTTAACCAAATGGAATGAGCAATAAAGGCTGTTCTAGACATAAATTGGAACATGAATGGCCTGGCGCCCATATGGTACCTTATTACAAGTTACAAATGACGTACCTTGGTCAAGATGGATATAGTTCAAAGCTACAGCATACAGCTTTGCAAGCAGTGTCCCCTAGATTTTGTGCAGAACGCATGCTATACATCTACACATTTTTCCCAAGCAAAAGATGGTGGTCCCTCATTTGTTTTCCACATGCCCCATGAAAAATCTGCTCAGGGATCCCGAAGATAATTTAAATGAATGGTCAAAAGTAACCTCGGAAGAAGTTCCAGCCTCAGAAACCCATGTTTCTATGCTTAGAGATCCAGAAACTTATCCTGATAATTATCTCACAAGGCTGAGTATTTGTGAAACGCAACTGCCACCAATTCAAATGATTTGTCTGCTAGTCCCGGAACTGAGACCCAGGTGAGCCTGAAAATTAGAGCTGAAAGTAATCAGCGTCCAATCAAAAGAGACAGTAATGAAATTAGGAAGAACTGCATTTTGCAGGCATTTAGCAAGCCTCTAATTGTATGCCATCCAAATTCTGGCTTGTAAAGCCATCTGAACCACCATAATTAGCCTATTTGGGGAAGGCAGCATTCTGGGAGCCAGAGGTTTCAAGCTCATAGGAAAACCTTCGCAGGGAGTATAGCTGGAGTAGAAATCCAAATACTTGTGCTGTTGAGGGCGGGTGGCCCTCGGAGAGCTTCGTGATGCCACAGGCTGAGAGGACAGGGAAAGTCAACTTTATACCAAAACTTGGCTCCTTTTTTTCCATCCAGAGCAGACCTTAATTCAGTCTTAGAAACAGTCACTTATCTTTGGTAAAAAATTGTGGGAACAGGCAGAAAAGATAGTTTTTATTCATTAATTACATATGTCCTGGGTGCCAGCGAGGCACCAGACGCGATGAGAAAAGAGGGAGGAGGAGAAAGCAAATCTGGGAAATCAGACTGTGAGGCCCAGGAAACTGTGGCTTTTGTTCTGAAAACAGAATCAAGCTGTAGCACAGACGTGTTCACTGGAATATCCAGTCCACTTGCAGTGGGGGCCCAACATAAGTTCCCTGCCCAATGCTTTAGATTCTCTACTCACCAGACTGCCCTGGAGGTGTTAAGTGTTACTGACAAAGTAGAATAAAAGAAAGCACAGGAAGCTATTAACATTTAGCTACAAATGCTAAATGTTAATACTAACGCCAAATGTTAACAGAAGTTAGTGAGTCACTACTGGTGGAATTCCACCTAAGTGATGGAAATATGGGTGATGGGTGTTTTCCTCCCCTATGCTTTTCTATGTTTTCCAAATTGTATTACTTTCATGATCAGAAAAAGAAAACTGACAGAGACAAGTAAAATAACATATCACTACTTGAGATCCCACAAACATGCAATGTGTGATTCTGAAATAGACTAGGGAGGACGCAGGCTTGCACTGGGAGTGAGGGATGCACTGAGCTGATGACTAGTGAGGGCGAAGACCAGGAAGGAAAAACTGCAACTTCTGGAAGTGCTGGGCAGCCAAGCAGCCAGTAGCCTTAGCTTTGAAGCTCAGCTCTGCTTCTTACAATGGCCCCGATGTCATCAAATCTTCTCTTATAAACTGGGATAATTTCGGCAGCCTCACAAAGGAGATGGGAGGATTGAGCTAAGATGTGAGTGAGTACTTAGCCAGGGGGGCCACACAGTGTTTTCTTCTACACCTTTCAGTAAAGCTGGAACCCCAACCCTGCCATGGCTGAGCCTGCAGAATTGCGGCACGTGAAAGAAACAAAGCTGTCTGTCTTTAAAAACACACCTACACAATGGCCTAAGGGTGCAAGCAACCCAAATGTCTATCCATGCATGATCAGATAAACAAAATGTGGCATATACATACAAGGGAATAGTATTCAGCCTTAAAAAGGAAGAAAATTCTAACACATGCTGCAACTTGGTTGAGCCTTGAGGACACAGTCCCAAAAGGAAAAATACTGTACCATTCCACCTACATGACGTACCCAGAGTAGTCAAATTCACAGAGACAGGAAGTGGAACGGGGCTGAGGGAGGAGGAGATGAATGTTGTTGTTCATAGAGCTTCAGTTTTGCAAGATGAATGAGTTCTGGAGATTGGTTGTATAACAAAGTGAATATTCTTAACACTACAGAAATGGACATTTAAAAATGGTTATGGGAATTCCCTGGCAGTCCAGTGGTTAGACTCCGAGCTTTCACTGCCAAGGGTGTGGGTTCAATCCCTGGTTGGGGAACTAAGATCCCGCAAGCCATGCAGCACAGCCAAAAAAAAAAAGTAGGAAATGAATAAATTAAATAAAGAAAAAAAAATGGTCAAGATGGTACATTTTATATTGTGTGTATTTTACAACAATTAAAAATTTTAAAATAAATTTAAAAAACAAGTTTAGACACATATAAATTTATTTATTGCAGTTCTATTTATAATAGCAAAAGCTTAAGGACAACTTATATGCCCATCAGTTGAGAACTAAACAAATTATGATACATCCACACCACAGTCTATTATGTAGCTGTATAAAATAGAAGAAACTTTCCATGTACTTATACGGAATGATCTTTGCTTTATACTGGTAAGGGAAAAAAGCTAAATGTAGGACAATATGTATAGGTATCCACAGTTGTGTATAAAGGATGGAGGAGTGGAATAAGAGTATAATATATTTATGTTTGCTGTTATATGCATAAAGAAATCCTGGCAAGAACAAAAGAAACTTACAATAATGGGTATGTATGGCAAGGATAGTATGAGAGCCAGACAAATAGGGACGCGGTAGATGGGAAATTTTTACTGTAAAACCTTTACTAATTTTTAAATTCTTGAACCATGTGAATCTATCATCTTTTCAAAAAATAAATAATTTGAATTTTTTAAATGTATATTTTACTGTTGAGAGTAAAAATTCTTACCAACTTATCTCAATTAAAATTGGGATGTTACTATCAAGATACAAGGTCTCTCCAATTTGTGTCCATCTCACAAAGGATGTGGTAATACTACCTCTCAAGGCTTACAGCCAGCAGGGAGGACTCTGCTAGCAAGCAGCTCAGCTAAACACAGTGAAGCCCATGAACTCACCTTGTCAACAACCTTAGGTCACCGCCCACCTTCCGCAGGGTTTCCACCAGTTCCACATTTCCAAGATCAGCAGCTACATGCAAAGGAGTTTGCGACCTCTGACATGAGAAAGTTCAAAAATGTAATCCAAGCATGTTAAGGAGAGAAAAAACTTGCATAGTAAAAAGACAAAGAGAAAAAGCAAAGGTGTCCTACACAGGCGTAAGGGAAAATAGATAAGGTCACATATTTTTAAACAGGTACAGGAGACATTCATTGCAGTGTTATTTATAACAACGAAAAATTGAAAGGAATTTACATGTTTAGTAAAGAAACTCATGAGATAAATTACGGTATATCCACATATTGGAATAGTAGGCAACCATCACAAATGATTTTTTTTAATGATTTCAATATGGGATACCTAGAGTAGTCAAGTTCATAGAGACAAAGTGAAATGGTGGTTTCCAGGAGAAGGGGGAGGAGGGAATGAGGAGTTATTGTTCAATGAGTATGGAGTTTCAGTCTGGGAAGATAAAGTTCTGGAGATGGATGGTGTGAGAGTTATGCACATTGTCAGTGTACTTAATGCCACTGAATTGTACACTTATATGGTTACAATGGTAAATTTTATGTTATGTTTGTTTTGCCACAATAAAAAATAATTTCAGAGATTTTTAAAAATGAAAAATGCTTATGATACAACATTAAAAACCTTAGCAAATAACACTATCTAGCTGAGCTCAATTTACAGAAAAAAATAGAGGGAAAGAAGGAAATGCATTGGTGATGTTAAGAAAAATAATGTCTAGACGGAGGGATTAGAGCTTATTTTTATTGGCTTCTCGATGCTTTTCTCTATTTTGTAAGTTTCCTACATTATAGTGTATAAAGGAGTGCAAGACTTCTAATTTCTTTCTTGAATAACCACATTCCCATGAAAAGGGTAAGAATGCTTCAGAGAAATATATGAAATCACAAGAAAATCACCCATCTTAACCTCCCACTGAAAGGAATGCTGATGTGAAGACAATTCTAAAATTTTAGCACAGAAAGGAACATTGGTTATAATCTAGCCCAACTCCTAAGCCAGAGAGAGGTAGCAACTTCCCAAGGGCCACACAGCTGGGCAGTAGCATCTAGCCCAGGACTCTTGCTACTAAGAGCATATGGCCAACCTGCTTGGGATGTTAACATAATTAATATCAACAAGCATTTACTAAAGACCCACTTTTAGGTGGCAATGTGCCCCTCTGGGGGCTCATTATCCATGACATCGAACTTACACTGACAGACCTATCAAAAGTCTACAACAACATGGAACAGAGACACAAGTGTCATACATCAAATACCCATAAAATCTCCCTGTGGCAAAACTGCTAGAAGTCTAGAAGGCAGGAAATGCACCAAAATGTTAACAGAGTTCTCTTTCTTTGGGGGGATTATAAACAAATTTTAATTTTTTAGCTTATTTATGTTTTCTTACTTTTATACATTGTGTGTATTCCTGGTCTAACAAAAACCATAAATGATAAAGTCTAGTTCTATAATTGGGTGGCAGCCTAGCATGCCTCCTTCACTGGAGTGGATCTAGCCAATTCTGGTGAAGCCAGAATCACTTGGGTGTTCTGTCCATGTGTAGAGCAATGACCCTGCCCATGAGGAAAGATGTGGGGCATTAACATAGTTGAATACATATGTATGTTTAATAATGAGAGATTTTCTTCCCTCAAACTTTTGGGATAGTAAAAGACCAGGGAGGAGGACGGTCTCTGGGGAAGGAAGGGACAGACAGGGAGTTAAGTCCCCATTCAGCTCAGGGCACCAGGGACCTCACAGGCTGGAGTTGGAGCAGACTTCAGAGATCTGAGTCAGTGCTCTGGTTTCACAGATGAGGAAACCGAGGATGACACAGTGGGTTAGGACACGCATGCCCACCGCATGTGGCTGCTCCCTCACCTGGGAAGGGGCAGCCAGGAAGGAGGGAGGAGTCCAGACGCTCATCTGTCCTCAGGACTCTGGCAAAGGCCCTCTCCCGAGAGTTTTCCTTCCCACTCCTGACCTCTGGAAGAGGGTAGCCCTTCCCAGAGCAGGCCCTGGCTCAGACAGCACCCACCCCCATCCTTTTAATTCTTCCACCTCAGCATTTCCATTTCCTGTCAGTGATGGATGCCTTTTATGCGGCATTTGATTCTGCTCCAGTGGTCTGAATTCATGGTGATTTTTTTAAAAATGCCAGGAGGTCTCTTTTGCCTTTGGGCAAAAAGAAGATACATTTATTGTCTATAATATAGAAACAAAGCTTCCTTTCTTGTGGAGAAGGACTCCCTGCCAATTACAACATTTCACACTGGTGGGGGGTAGCTTTTGATTTAAATAGCCGCCGGCAATTTACCTCTAGGCTACTGTTTATCTATCAGAAGTACTGGGCCTGTTAAATGTGAACAGTTTAATAACGCATTGGCTGAATCCCAGTTGTGCGTTTGAAAAAGACAAAATATGTGTGTGCAAGTGGGAGTGGGGGTTTACAGAAGCAAAAGGATAAAAATATGAATGTGCATATTCTTCCCAGGAATCTTTAGAGCACCTTGAACTTGATCAAAACTACCCCTAGGGCTTCCCTGGTGGCACAGTGGTTGAGTCTGCCGGCCGATACAGGGGACACGGGTTCATGCCCCGGTCTGGGAAGATCCCACATGCCGCAGAGCGGCTGGGCCCGTGAGCCATGGCCGCTGAGACTGCGCGTCCAGAGCCTGTGCTCTGCAACGGGAGAGGCCACAGCAGTGAGAGGCCCGCGTACTGCAAAAAAAAAAAAAAAAAACTACCCCTAAACACATGCTGAGTTGAAACAAGAAAATAGACTCTCTAGGTTCCGATTTGCCTGGCTTACCTGATTTAAGATGTCAATATCATGCTGTGCACTTAAGCTGTTTACCACTGTGATATGGTTGTTGATAACAGCTAAATGAAGAGGGGACTCCTTAGGCTGCAGAAAGAAATGACATTTCAAATTCAAAAGATTCTGGCTTCATCAATCAGATCAAAAAGCGACTCATTTGATCAGACATTTCCTGATAATCTCCTGAATACTAGTACTGCCCAACATGGTTGCAGGCCTTTAGTAGGTCCTCAGCAATCACTTCCACGCCAAGGCTGTACAGAAATCCCGCTCACCAGCAACCCACTTTCCCACTTCAACCATTCTCAAACTTGACACTGAGCACCTATTATGGGCCAGGCTCTTTTCAGGATGTTAGGGGTTCAGTGGTGAACATGGCCCATCCTCAGGAATCTTTCATCTAGTAGGGAAATCA